AAATACAACATGATGCAACATCTGCACCTGCACCTGCAATGCAACGATGCACACGGCTCCCTCTTATCCGTTACAGAACATCGCTGTGAACGCGCCGGGTCCTCCAGCTGTAAAAGCTGACGGCCGGCTTAGTTGAAGCCAATGAGCTTCTGGACCGCTTGGTGTGTCTAATTAGATTACAGGCCGTCTGATTACCTCACCAGTTCATGCCTTTCTCCACCTCAGTTACAATTTGGTGAAAGCTCTGGGACTTCCACTGCCCTCTGAGTCATCTGTCTGGCTGCTCGCAAAAAAAAAAAAAACAATGTCGAGCACGCTTTCCACAGGGGATGAAGCGGTACATGTGTGTGTGTGTGTTAGTCTGAGCAATCTCAGTCTACCACAGACGATGACCTTTGGCGTGATCCGTACAACGCGACTGCAAATCCCACAGCACGGCAGCTTTACCAAAAAAAAAACAAAAAAAACCCCACTCTTGTCTTTTGCTGTGACATCCACAACCACCTCCATGAATCATGCAGTTCACAAATACGCTGGAAAATACTCGACACGCCGCAGAACAACTGTAGCCACTTTATAAAGCCTCGGCTGCCCCTGGTGCCGGAGCCGTGTGACACAGAGCGAGAGTGTCAGCGACAGCCAGCATGTTTGCGGAGCCGTCCCAAACTCCGCCGCTCGGCCTGAAATATTTACCACTGAGGCCGAGATTGCAGGGAAGTGAGAAGAGGAAAGTACATCAAGCTTGGAGGGGAGGCGGGAGGGTTGTAGAGAATCAGATCTCAGCACCAGAGAGGTTTCTCCTCACTAACAGGACCGGCAGAGATAAACCAGGAGTCAGCGTGAAAGCATCGAGAAACAAGAAGTGACCGGCGGAGATATAATCGAGCCTTTTTGCAAGCTCTGCAAAGTGAGGTGAGGCTTTTGTGTTGAGATCGTATCGGCCCTATTATTGGGAAAATTCATTCTCCGGCGCGACCGATACGTTTGTCGGCGCCGCTCACCTCCACAAACAGGAAGCAGGGGACGATGGAGCTGCTGCTCTTCACGCCCGGCTTCTCCTCCACTGCCATCCCTCTCTCGGTGTCGTCGAGCGTCCCTTTGAACCGGCCCAGCTTTCTGTATCCCTATCCTGTAAAGAAGAAGAAGACGAGTCGGGTCACTTTACTTATTAGTCTGAGGTCAAAGTGCAAGATTAAGAGGAATCCATTCAGGACAAACGAGCTTATCACAGGCCTCCCCTGACGTCTAATTACTCTCTCCGCACCGTCACGCTGCTGCTTTTATTTCATTCAGCGTATTGTTTCTGTGACACTTTCTGCTGTTTATTTATACGCTGGCATACATGAATATTCAACACATGCACGAAAGATGAACCCGTTTCTGAGCACTCTGGGATACACTCCACAGTTTACTGTTGCAGTCGCTGAAATTGCTTTTCCTTTGTTGAATTTGGGAGCGTCGTGTATCAAAGCGCCCCCCCGGGAATACCAACAACAACAACAACAACAACATGTCAATAAATTCTGCAAACTTTGTCACAATCTGCCTCCCCGCGCTGCGCCATGCGTTTACTCAGAACAATAGCAAACACATGATCAGACGAGTTCTGTCTTTTATATGTAAATCATTACATTATGTCGCAGTTTTATATTTTATGGATGGAATCAGTGCTGCTGTCACGTGGTAAAGTAGTGCAGTTCATTCACAGGATGTGCGGAGGTACATAGTTGATGAGGTAGAGGAGCTGCTAAGCTAAGTGCTAACAAGTGCTTGCAGAGATGTTATAATGGAAAGACTCGCAACTTAATAAAAAAATCCAGAATAGAAATCTATGGGAGAATTCCATAACGCTAAAGATATGACACGTCTTTCCCGAAAAAAGTAAATTTTTTTGCTTTGCAGCATCCAAACCAGGGAGGAGTGAACCTGCAGAATGGGGCTGAATTCATGGTCAAACAAGGGATTAAACATCGATTATGATTGCGTACTTGCAGTGAGTGTTACACCGATAGCTGGTACATGGAAAACAAAGCATG